AAAGACATCGTCATTCTCAATCCTTGTTTTGGCCTTCAGATAATTAATCTTCCACTCTTGTGACTGCTAGGAAAACAGAAAGTCAGGGGGATGCAGGTTGGTCACCCTTCTCCTGTGGGACCACAGGAAGTGTGGTGACATGAGACTGCCAGAGGAGCAGCTCTGAGAACAGAGCATCCAGGTCATGTGCAAAATGGCCTTTCAGGGCCTGGCAAGCTTTTGTGCCTTGGAGTCTGGGAGGTACTCGCTGGGTCAGAGGCTCAGTTTTAAATTGAGGAAGGTCAATCAATAGGTGTTTCTTTTAAAAAAGTCAGAAAAGAAATGTACTCCAGCAGAACTACAACAGCTATAGTGAAAAGAGGCCAATTCTGGCACTAGAATAAAAGGATCCACTGAACACAATGGAAAGCTAGGAAAGAGACCCACGTGTAGGTATCATGTTAACAAATTATGAGGCTATTCATTCATATCAGCAAGAAAATAGTTGATTATTAAATAAGCTCTCCACTGGGAACTGGCTCACTGTAAGGAAACAAATAGTATAAAGTTGTTACTTCATCATTGATATATATATGTACATTTAGGTGTAAAAAAAATTGAAAGCAGAAAGTAGTAGAATTTAACATTGATAAATTGCATAGAAACTTCAGGTGAGACAGGCTTTATCTACACCTGATAGCAAAAACAGGGGCTGTAAGAATATTGGTAGATTTCACTGAAATAAATATTCAAATTTCTGTTCACCAGAAGGTGCCAAAAAGAGTCAATGAGAGGAAGTTATAGAAAAGAGTCAACGAGAGGAAGTTACAGACACTTACAGAGAAAGAATAGCCATATTTATCATTCGCTCTTATCATTCCTACCACTACAGTCATTATTATGTAAAAATACAGGTGGACCAATGGCACAAACACAATAAATGAATAAAAAGCTTTAAAAACAGAGAAAAATATGGATTTCTTCATTGATACTCTTGGAGTTTGTGCAACTCTTTTAAAATAAAGCATAAAAGGCAGATGGTAGAAAATGAACACTGATTAAAATATTAATGCCAAATACTTCAGAACCAAAATACCAAATTCCAATAGATCAAGTATATACTACAAATATGGTGAAGATTCATTGAAAGCAAATGAATTCTTTTGAAAAAACGAGAAAAAGTGAAAACATCCAGACTGTGACAGACAATTATCGGATTATCCCAGCACTAATTGTACCTCTCCCTGAAACTGGGTAGATTGAACCCAGAGTTCTGCACTCTACCGTGCAGCAGGCTGGGCATTGTGGGGTGGGGAACTGTTTTTCCATATCCATGTGCTGAATGTTCCCCCATCACTGACACCATGAATCCATTCCCTGGTGTCAAAAATCTTCTATTAACCCTCTCTGAAGTTCCCTTTAAAGTCATTTTGTCCCTGTCGAGGGTCTCTGATGATTCAGTGTGTGATGTTCAGTTGAACTCAAGGCTTCCGTATCTCTTTGCTCCTGAAACACACAGTATTGCTCACAACCATGTCTACCTTGGCTAATGGGTTCACATACGCAGGTCATGCGCCACTCTGTCTACACTGAGAAAGTAAAACCAAAAGACACCAGAGCCCACAAACTAAATAGTTTAGATAAGCATAGACACTTGGAATGTTCTGGATGAACCCGGGCCACAGATATGCCCTGCTCCTTCCTCCACCTCAGGGTCAGAGAAGTGACAGAAGGAACAATGTCTACACAGTTCTGGTCGCCAGGTTCCCAACTCCCACAGCAACTAATAAATTTCCTGTTTCCCAGTAGGGCATCCGGGCACCCGCAGCACAAAGGAGAAGGCTGATTGCAATTGCACATGTGTGAAGATGGATACTTTCTTGGCATGCATTAGCTGTGACCTTTAGAAAGCGAGCCAAGTTGGCTGTGGTTTAACTGTCCTGTTTCCCTTCTAACAAACTCACTACCCCTTACGCTGCCTCAACCAGTAGGGGCTGGTTTGACTCTGAGCCTCTTCAAAGAATCAACCACATTTGACAGAGCAGGGAAACAAAACAGGCCTGAGAAAGTGATGCCCCACCAGCCACACCAGCACCACCTGTCACCCACTGTGTCCCCAGCCCCCCAGGGCCCTGCTCCATGCTGCTGAAGTTCAGGGCAGCCCAGGTGGATGGGGAAAGAAGGTGCTGAGGGATTTGAACCCCCAGGGGAACCTACCCCTGCCCAGCCTGTGACATCAGCTTCACAGAGCTCTGGTGATGTGACCATTTCCAGTCTGGGGCCTGTGCCTTTGCAGTGCAGAAATAGCTCCACTCTCTGTACAGAGGGCAGGAATTTATCTAAAGGAACCTGAACCCAGAGACCTTGAAAAGAACAGTGACATGTGCATCTTCATTTGTCAGTGATTCCTTCTGAAGTCACCGCCCCAAGAAAAAAGACATAATCATCATCCCAGAGAAAGAAATGCAGATGTGGTGTAGGACCCTTGGTATCCATTAGCTCTGAAGTTCAGGCCTTAGTTGTCGCACAATTCTCACCATCTTGTCAATTCAGTGTTACCAAATTGAAGTACCCATGGCCCAAAGAACTATTTGTATTTTAATCTATTGCATCTACTATGAAAAACAAAGCATGGAATTCAATAGCAAAGAAGGCTGCGTCAGGGTGAGTAGAGTGGAGGCTACCAGGTGCGACCTCATTCAGGGGCACTGAGGACCTGGCCAGATGTGGTAAGCTGTGCACACTGAGGCAGTGAGGATCGGAAGGAAGGGAACAGTGAGGATACCCATAGTTGCTCAGTGGGTGCCCATAGTCCTGCTAGGTCTCAGCTTTGAAGCCCTGGCAATGTTAGAATTACCTGGGAGGCTCTAAGGACTGCCGCCAGTCACAGTTCACTCTTGGCTGGTACCTCAGGCACAGAGGGCATCTGTAGCTTGTAGAAGTTCCCAGGTGATCTCATTCAATGGAGAGGCTGAGGGATGCCTTCAGTTTAAGAAAGGGCCTCTATTCTTATTCCTTGGGATATGATAGATTTTTAAGCATGTTAATTTATCTTTATGTAGGATCTCTAGAGTAAAAGGGAAAGTGATAAGATAATAAGGTGTATTGGCTCATTTTCTTTTGCTGTAACAAAACACCTGTGGTACATGACAGACAAAAGAAGCTTGTTTGGCTCCCAGTTTTGGGGACTGAAACCTCAAGATCTGAGGAACCCCATTTGTTCTTCTCCCCCAAGGTGAGAGTCTCTGGCTACATCAGAACATTGTGGGTGACATCATGGTGACAGCCTGTGTCAGAGGGAGAGGGCAGCCACATGGTGAGACAGAAAGGGGGAGCTTCAGGCTTGCTGTTCAAGTAGCAACTTGCTCTCCTGGAAGCCAAGCAGCCCCATGTAAGGAGAACTACATCAATTCTTCTTGACACCAGTGCTTCCAGTTGCCCCAGTCACCACCTAGAAGGCCCCAGGTCTCAAAGTTCCCATAACTTCTCAACCTCACCATTCTGGGAGGAAACTTAGGGCACACGAGCCTTTGGGGGACACAACGACACCACATCTAAAACAAGCAAGGGAACGCAGGATGCCATTCAGACTGTTACCCAGTTTGGCGGGGGTGGTCTGTGGGGCTCCTCTCCAGGGCCTTGATGTCTTAGACAGAGAAATGGACAGAACACATAGAAAAGGCAGCAAACGTGTACCTTTACTGAAGGCAAAAAGAGGTACACTCTACAAGAAGAGTGGGCTGGTGAACAGACTCAGAGGCCTGAGGATACGGGAAAGGGATCTTCTGCATCCAAAGTTCCGGCCTTGGCTTCCCCCTCATGCACATAATGCATTGGGAGAGTTGTCCTAACTCACTTCACCTGGTGCCAGCTTTAAACTGTCCTGTAGAAAGACTTGCTTGGTTTCTGACCAGGTGTAGGATTGAAAATATCACTTTCCCTTTGGTCCTACCAATAGTCCCACCAGATTCAAACAGACTGAAAAATACTGCTCTCTGATCGGTTCCTTGTACAGTGCTTGGGAGCCAAGTCATTAAGGGTACCGTGTTCTGCATGACCTCTGGCTTTTTGTGACCTTTGACACATTCCCTCCAGTTTTCTGGCCTGCCCACCCTTGCCTGTCTCAATATCACAAGTCAAAATTCAGAAGCAGACTTTGCACATCAAAGACAGGACTTTGTTCTTGGCGGTCCTGCCCATTTGAGCCTCTCTTTTGCTCTCTCCAATACCTGCAGCAGGTCACCAATGCTAATTTTACCAGGGATTCCCCTGCAGGGTGTCAGCTCCTCCCCTCTGCCTGCCCCTGTGTGGCTCTAGCTCCAAAAAATGAAATCTTCGTCTGTTAAGTATTTACCCCTTCTTTAAAATTCCTCATTTTTTCAAAACTAAGTTTCAATGTCAAGTTCATAATGCTTGTACAATAGAAAGACAGGCAATACAGTATAAACATGTAATTTTAAACAGAATTAAAATTAGAAATGCTCAGTTTCTTGTTGAGGGTGTGTTGAGTCCTGGCAGCGGGACGAGGGGCGGCTGCAGGCTGAGTGCAGCTCACTCCCAGGCACGCGTTCAGATGAGTGTGCAAGAACACGAGCACAGGAAGCTAAGGGGGGACGTTTCCTTCCACGGGGAAAACCGGCCCATCCCGCACCCCATGTGTTCACGCCCAGTGTTCATATTTCAAAGCATTAAAAATGAAATATATGCAGAAACGGAACCAACAGCATAATTTGTATAAGAAAGCTGAGGCGCAGTACTGACACCAAATAAACACCGGACTACTCAGTCCTGAGATGATCGGACTCGCCCTGTAATCTGATGGGACTGCAATGACCATTCAGCCGGTCAGGGAGGAGGAGTAGAAGGAGCTGACGGACGTGCCAACACTGTGACAGGGCTTCTCACTAATCCTCGGAGTGGCCCGACTGGGCGCTCTGAGCTCCGGTTTACAGGGGAGGAAACTGAAGCTCACGGAGGTGAGCCGGCACGGCGCAGGGCACACAGTAGGCACTGAGTGTTACCTGGATGGGTGGCAGGAGGCACAACTAGCAGGAAGAGCCGGGGTTCGGACTTGCTCCATCGTGCCGCAGAGCTCACACTATTCCGTCACGGTTCTCTGCCTTCCAGGGGAGACTGCGCAGGATCATCCTAAACCGCAAAGAGGGACCACGGCGAGTGTTAAAGGGTAACGAGCCCAGCAACCTGTGATCTCCACCTTCATTTCGCAGCCATGTCCATCTCAAAATGTGTGCTTGTGAAAGGGTGAAAAAATAAAAACAAAAAGCAAAAGATTTTCAAGGGCTTTTACAATTACTTAACGTTCATGGTACAGGGAAACAGGAAAAATCCATGTGAAACCATCATATGCATATGTAACAATTTCTTAATATAGCTCATCCCTTTTTTATTGAATTCTGCCAACTTCTTTAAAACATTCCCTATGAAAACTTCATCCAAAATGTGTTTCTCTAATTTTATGAATGTTAGGTGTTATGTCATTTTTTCTTTGCTCCACACTTACAGCAAAAACATTATTAAGGGAGGGCAGCGGTACAGGGAAAAAATGAAAAACAAGATCTCTCATGTAAAGGTACAAGATTCCAATGATGAATCTAACTGTACTGTATACTTTAAAAGCACCAATAAACTCCATGGAAAAAAACATTATTGGAAAATGCTGAATAAAATGTGGCATTCTTTCTTAGCTGTTTTGTATCCTATGTTAAAATATTGTATAACTCTAAAGGTTTAAAAAATAATTTTAATATTTTTTTTCTGTATGATTGCCTGTCTACTATAAATGAACTACCTATGGAATTAAAGTGTTTTGGTATCTCAAGTATAGAGGGCCAAGAATGTAAGGGAAGTATAAATATAAAAACTCTAAAATGATTAACTTTGAATAGACATTAAAATATTACAGATTTGGCATATTTAATGCTTACCAGGCAGAAAAAAAGGGTTAAGTTTTATTCTGTATTTGGCTACTATATCTTCAAGACAACTACTTACTTACCATTATTTTTCAAAGCATTATGTTGGGTAGGCTTTTATTGGGATAAAGGGTTTATAAATCATGACCTTCCTCATCCAAAACCAAACAGAAATGAAGACTCACAGATGTTTATTACAGAAGATGGTGGCTGGAAACAAAGGCTATGTCTAAAAAGTCACAGGACCATTAAAATGAACAGGGCTTTGCTCCATTCAAGATCTAGCATCTGATAATCTAATTTGATAAATCAAACTGGATGTTCCTTTCTGATTGTTTAGTTACAAATTTGGTTGTGTATTGGAACAATTTTTATTTTACCTGAATATTAAGTGAAAAACCATTGGGTTCTAAAGACAGATTAATATCTGTTGAACTTGGGTTGAAAACTATCCAAGGGAAATACTTAACTATTTGGGAAAGCAAATTTCTAAAGACTCAAAATATTACAAAACAAGCTGTTTAAAAAAAACATACACACACACTTTTAACTAGAAAAGATTTAAAAAATTTATTAGAAATTACAAAAAGTCCTTACCTTACAAAAAATTATCTATATGACAAGTTTAACAAGGCTGACATTCAATGGAGAACAATAAATTTGCCTTTAGCAATCAGAAAAACTTCAGCCATTCTTCATCTATTATTTTAAACATCTCTTATTAAAGCTCGTGGTTTGAATGAATGTTTTGTGTGTGTCTTTGATGCCTTCTTTGCATCAGAAGATGCTAATATAGTCTCTTTCTTGGTTAACCTTCAGTACTCTGTACAAGGTGTTCTGAAACACTGTGGTGAAGTAAGGCCTTGCATCCCTGAGCAGTGTGCTGCAGAGGGAGGGGTTGGCTGAGTTGGAAGGGTCTTCCAAGTCCCAGATTTCCAGCATACTGCAACCCGGCCTGAAAAGAAAGGACATGAAAATATTCACGTAAAAATGTGTTCAGACACAGAGAAGTATATAAATATAAAGTATTTCTGACATTTCCTAACTTATTTAACAAAGATTTTAAAGTATCATTTTTTAAATCACAAGTTTAGCATTTAGAAATAATAAAAATGAAGGCTGTTGCCTTCCTAGGTCCCACTTACCCAGATCCTATGACGTGTCCTAATAATAATAGTTCCATGTACTTTCAGAAGAACACATTTAGAAGCTCACTTTTAAAATGAAATAAACACATTTTCTAAGTATCATCACCATTCAGACATAAAGGTACAATACATCTGTGGAATGAGATGATTAAAGAAAAACTAATAGAATTCCTGATGAAGTCCATGGTTTTGAGCACAAATTGCCTTGGATTAGTAGGGAACCACACTTTATAGCAGAGAAAGAAAGTTCTTGGGCCAAGTTTGTTTTGTTCAGCCCGTTCTCATTTGGGTGTCTCTGTGAGTGGGCTGAATGAGGCAATGCCCTCACTGGAGAGGAGCTCTGCAGGGAACTCATCAAATGGAAGGAGCCAGAAAAAATTAATTTTTAACATCTACATTTAGTTATAATTTAAGTACTGTTAAATTTACCCATTTCTTGTACAGGTCTCCTTTGTGCCTTACATAATTCAGAATTCCATATACACGAAATAGGTAAGCTTCATTCCTGGCTTCTTTATCTTAGCATTTATTTTTAGGCACCAGAGATCGAACTAAGGACCTTGCACTTGACAGGCAGGTGCTGTGCTGCTGAGCTAAATCCACGGCCCATACCTTAGCATGCTTTTAATATTTATATCTTAGATGTTGTGGTGCCTATAGTTCCTTCATTTTCATTGCCAAATAATATTTTGCTTTATGCAGGTGCCATTATTTGATTATTCATTTGCAAGTTAATGATCATTTGAGTTTTTGGTGATGATAAAAGAAGTTGCTATGAAAACTCATGGACGAGGATTTCTTGGACTCATGTCCAACTAACATACCTCAGTTGTTTCAGTCATAGAATTGCTTTATAAGCAACTTCAAAATGTTTTCCAAAGTGAATGTACTATTTTTCATCAACAGTGTAAGGAAGTTCAAGTTGTTTTATGTTCTCGCAAACATTTGGTGTGTTCAGTCTTTGTAATTTCATTCATTCTATTGCCAGGCATCACCCAAAACATCTTTTTTTTTTGGTACTGGGGGTTGAACTCGGGAGCTTACACTTGCAAGGCAGGCGCTGGAACCACTGGACTAAATCCCCAGCCCACCAAAACATCTTTATTAGAATATCTACTCAAGTATTTTGGCAAATTTTGTGTTGCTTCTTACTACTGAGGTGTAAGACCTTTTTACAGATTCTGGATAAAAAGCCTTGTCTGACTTTTAGCAGATTTAATAATGCATAAAAGATCAATAACGACTCAATATATGGTACATATGTAGTTTAGAATTTGATATACTTGATAAAGTATGTACCTGTGAAAACAAAGCCCAAAATAATGAATCTGCCCATCTCTCCCACAATTTCTCTAATGCCTTTAAAAATTTTGGTCTGGTCCCACGCAACTCCCTTTCCTGGGGAAATACATACATGCTTCTTGTCACTACAGATTAGTGTGCATTTTCTGGGATTGTGGCTTGCTTTCTTTTCTTTCATGGTCCTTTTAATCAAAATACTTATTTTGACATTTATCCATATTTTTGTATTGAGTTCAATCTTTTTTATTGATGAGTATATTGTCCAAACATTCCAATAATGTGTTTACTCATTCATTTGTCCATAGATATTTGGGTTGTTTCCAGATTTTGAATGTCGCAAAACTGAACTGCAGTGAACATTTGTGAACAATTGTGGGTATGAATGTATGCCTTTCTTTGATCTTTTATAAATGTAGATAGTAGGTATATGTTTGATTTCTTACAGAATTGCTAAACTGTCTCACAAAGTGGGTGCACCATGTTACAGTCACATAACCAGTGTGAGAGCTGTAGGTCTTCACAGTGTCTGCAATACTTGCAGATTTTTTTTTAAAATTTAGTTAATGCATTAGATATTTAAGGGTATCTCATTATCATTATAATTTAATTGGGTTGTTTCTATGTTTTGAGTTCTTTATACATCTAAAGTTCTTTATCAGACATAGGCTTTAGTTTGTTTGTTTGGTTTTTTGTACCAGAGATCGAACTCAGGACCTTGCACGTGCAAAGCAGGTGGTGGAACCACTAAGCTAAATCCCAGCCCTCAGACATAGGCTTTAAAAACATTTTCTCCCAACTGTAGCTGATTTTTAATTTATTCCTAATGGTATTTATAAATGGTCAGAGTTTATAGTTTAATGACCCCTTATTAGTGTGTTCTCTCACAGATCATGTTTATGGTACTGGACCTAAAAAATCTTTTCTGCTGGGTGTGGTGGCACATGCCTACAATCCCAGCACTCCAGAGGCTGAGGTAGGAGGATCACAAGTTTGAGGCTAGTTTGGCCTACATAATGAGTTCAAAACCCACCTGAACTACATAGTGAAACCCTGTCTAAAAAAACGAACAAACAAACAAATGACATCTTTCCCTAAACTAAGGTCACAATGATTTCTTCCAGAACTTTTATATTTTCAGATTTATAGTTCTATGATCCACAGTTAAGTATTATATATGATATGGAGTAAAAATTGAAGTTTTGGGGGGTTTTTGCATAAAGACACCAAGTTGTTTAAGTACTACTTGTTGAAAAGGCACATTTTCCACTGAAATGTTTTTATATATTTGTCAAAAATCTATTGTCCTTATGAATATTTTTTTCTGGTTGCTCTCATTTCATTCATCTATCCTGACTCCAAAAGCAAGCACTGTCTTGGTTTCTGTAGCTGTAGCTGAGTTTTTAAATCACATCATAGTAGCCCTAGAAACCTGTTCTTCTCTTTCAATGTTGTTTTGGCTCTTCCAAGTCCTTTGTACTTTGTCAGTGAGCTAGAGAATCAGCTCTTCAAGTTTCATTCCTGCTGGGACATGGACTGCAACTGAATTGAACCTGTAGATCAATTTAGGGAGAATTGACAACTTGGTATTCACTATTTTGATCCATGACCATGATATTTTATTTCTCTTGATAATGTTTTGCCATTTTTAATGTGCAGGTACTATATGTCATATATCTAATATTTGTATGACTGTAAATATCATTTAAAATTTCAATTACAAATTGTTGTTAATTAAAATGAGAAATGATTTTGTATCCTGTATTCTTGCTGAAGTTACCTGTTATCTCTCATAGTTTTCTGGTACTTCCATCAGATTACTTATAGATGGTTAAGTTATATCTGAAGAGACAGATTTACTTCTTCCTTTCTAAGTGGTATGCCTTTCAGTTTTTTTTCCTTGTTTCATTCCTTTGGCCCTATCAATCATTACACTGTTTATTGGTAGTGAGAATGGAATTTCTCTTCTTGTTCCTGACTTCAATGAATTGTCTTTTGCCTTTGATTCTGATGTAAGTTGTACTTTCTTCATAGATGATCTTTACCAGGCTTAGCAAGATACCTTCTATTTTTAGTCTCTAAACATTTGGAGATTTTTAACACATATTTTTGTTTCTTATTATTTTAATTTCCTTATAATCAGAATATATTTGTGTGATGTAAATCATTTAAAATCTGTTGAGACTTAGTTTTATGTCCAGAATATGGTCCTTCTTTGTAAATACTATAGTATGTTTATGCCTACGAATGCCTACAGTATGTTCTTGAGTGTGTTCTATAAATGTCAATGGATTCATATTTGTTGACAGTTAAGTTTAACTAGTTTGTAGAAGACTTGAATGATGTATATTCCTAAGAGGGCTGTTAAAATTTCTGACCATATCATGGGTTTGTCTATTTTTTTCTTTACAATTCTATCAGGTTTTACTTGATGTATTTAATAATTGTGTTAACTGGTGCATCAGTATGTAAGGCTGCAATATCCTCTTCAAAAACAAACCCCTCTTCATTATAAAATGACCGTGCTTAACTGGGATAATATTCTTTGTATTCACATGTAGTTTATCTCATAGTATAGCCAGTCCATCTCTCTTTTGACTAGCAGTAGCAACATATGTCCTTTTTCTGTCTGTTAACTTTTTTTTGGGGGGTGGGTTTTATGAGACAGGGTCTCACTATGTAGTTGAGACTCACCTGGGACTCACTTTGTAGCCCAGGCTGGTCTTGAACTCACAGCGATCCTCCTGCCTCAGCCTCCTGAGTGCTGGGATTACAGGTATGCGCCACCATGCCCGGTGTGTCTGTGGACTTTTAACCTATTCATTTCTTTATATTTAAGCAAATTTCTTAGAAGTAGTATATAGTATGGTCTTACTTTATTAAGCAGTCCTCCAATTCCTGATTTTTATTAGTGACATTTTGTCTTGTACTAGTTTGCTATTGATACTGACAAATCACCACAAGCTTTGTAATTTAAAACAAAATATATTGATTCTCTTTCAGTTCTGGAGGGATGAGCTCCAAAGTCAAGATGTTGGCAGGGCTATGGGCATTCTGGAGGCTCCAAGGGAAAATCCGTTTCCTTGCCTTTTCCACATTCTGCTTTCACAGTCACAGCACCACCTTCGCCTCTGTCTCCCTTGCATCCTCATAGAAGGACCCTGTTCTTACACTTCCTACCTGGGGAGCCAAGGTAATTTCATATCTCAAGAGCATTCATTTAATCACAGTTCCCCGGTATTCAGATGTGAATGTCATGGAGGGGCCATGATTTAGTATAAAAGACCATTCCCATGTAACCCGACCACTGATAATGTTAGATATAAATCTGTCATGTTGCTGTTTTCTATTTGTCCCATTTGATCTTTATTCCTTTTTTCCACTTTCTCTGCCTTCACTTGTATTAAACATTTTTTATGATTCCATATTAAACTTATTTTTTGCCTTCTTAGCTATAAGTCATTGTTTTGTTATTTCACCAACTGCATTCGCATTTATAATATATACT